GAGAGAGACAAGCGTAATTAAAATAGGAACAATTGTGAACCTTCATTTCTTATTTAAGTAAAAAATAGCATTCAGAGAGTGTTGCATGTGTAAAAGTTACATTATGAAGAGATAAATCAAGGAATTATTGAGAAATCGATTGGGTAAAAGACATTTAACATTTTTTTCTTTTTATGTTGTTGTTATCAATCCAGAATAATCTTTCTTTTCATAAAGCACAAATTCTTGAGATTTGGTTAAGTGGCCTGGACATAAAGAATAATAATGTTACTAAAATGATTATAAATGTACAGATTTATAACTATCAATTGAGTAAAAAGTTAAAGCTGTACACTACAAAACACCCCCCAGGGCGGTGCTACTGACTGAAGTGTCTTTAGGCCATTTCCAAAGGGGGGACATTAACCATGTTCTTACCCACAGTAAAACTGCTTTTGTAAATGGGCTGATTTATTAAATGTCATGCTCATAACTGTGCCTGAACTGCAACAGGGTATTGCTGCTTTTTCTTTCCAAATCCTTACTATCGTCATTTTCCTCTACTACTTTTGTATGGTTGTCACACTCTTGTGACCCGCTATTTCCAGGGTGTCTTGATAGTCGAAGCAGACTTTGTGCTGTTGAAGCTAGAGAGGTGAACAGAGTAAGCCTGATTCCGTGCAAGGACTTCTCTGTTGACATCCTCTCCTTGGCACTCATATGACTTTATGCAGTTGCGAGCACTGTAAAACCTCTACTTAAACGAAAAGACTACAAAAGAAAAATCCCAATGATTTTTCAGCGGCATTTATGGCTGCCATGGAGACAGATGCAAAGGAAAGGGCAGCAGATAAGAAGAAAAGACAGAAGATTGCAGATGGATTTAAAGAGCAAGGGAATGTGGAATTCAGACAAGGGAATTTTGAAAAAGCCCTGGAATTCTATGATAAGGTGAGTAATGCATTTGATTTTTATGCCTCTTGTTTTTCAACTTTCATAGTGGTATATAAAGATCACCTAAGAAGCAGGACATAAAAGTAGGAATTAGTCTCTGAACAAAAGAGATGGAGAGATGAACCCCTCTCCCCATAACATGAGCTCCTTATCTGCAACAAGCTGCTCCCAGTGGCTCCCAGTCTGAACCGCTGTGCCGTTGAGCTGCTGGCAGCGGCCCGGGCACTGTCCTTTTCGACGACTTCGACATCAAATTACCTTTCAGCCATTTCCAAAAGCAGGTCTCTTCTATCAGGATTTCATTCATTAGATGAAGAACTATCAAAATAAGCTCACTTGTTTTGATTTAATTACCAATTTAGTGACGTTTTTGTCATTTTTAGATTTAGTACCAAAAAAGGGCTCAAGCATAGTGGGTTTACCCCCCGCGGAGGTAAAGAGTAAACCTAAATTTGTTACTTGATTCGTAATACTTTTGAATTGCACATCAGTGCAGTCTTTATACAACTGTGTACTATCCAGTTGTTCTCTTCTCCCTCCCCAACACTTTTTCTGTATCATAGTAAAATATGTCACATTTTAATCTGAGTTCTTGTCAAATATGCAAACATGACTATATTGTTTAAAACAATGTCACTTAAAAGCAATATATGTGAGGCATGATGGTGAAATCGAGCGCTCGTCAAAATAATGAAATGGAAGAAACAGGCATTTTTCTTCAAGTTTGGCAATTTTTTCTCAAATTATTGTTTTTTGGCTCAATGCCTTTAATGCCCATATGGAAATACATTTCCATGTAAATTTTAGACCTGCATGTTTGCAGACAATCGTCTGAAATCCGACAATCGCGACCCGACCCGTGAGCCGGCCGATGCTATCGCTAGGCCCACCTGTATCAGTCAATGTGCGTAGTGCGAGGCCTGGCCGACTGCCAGCGCCCCCTTTTTCTCCTGTCGGCTTTGTCGGCACTTTCGTTTTCGTGCCGACCGCCGACTGCCCACGTCGGCGTTTCCGACATAATTGTCGGAACCTGAGTAGAAATGCGAATACGAAAAAGGACGGCGACCTAAACTATCTACTTTCAACTTTCAGTTTCGTGCACGAGCGGCCATTTTGAATTTCGTTTGTTGACTAATTCAATTATTCAGATGGTGTGGATTCATTCAAGTCCGACTCACTTGTTCTAATAAAATACAGATCTAGATCTAGATTTATATAGATCATTATATACCTCAATGGAGGATTCATATTCCAATTCTTTTGTGTCAAACCCTATCATAGGTTGTGCTGTAATATTAATGTCGGAGTGTCTACGTACACGGTAACCGGGCACGTAGCCTCAGGGTCTACGTACATGGTAACCGGCAACCGGGCGCCTCTCATTATCTACGAACACGGTAAGCGGGCATTTAGTTTCGTGGGGGAGAGGGGGGGGGGGGGGGGGCTTCAGCTAGCTTTGCTCCTTCTTGACGTTGACATTAATTTTTCCTTTTTCACCGTGTAGTCTCAATGTCGCATACACGGTAACCGTGCCCAAAGCCACAATATCTACGTACACAGTAACCGTGTACTTGGTTTCGGGGGGGTGAGGGGGATGTGCGGAAGGGGGCTTGAGCTAGGTGCACACACGGTAACTGCTTCGCTCCCTTCATGACGTTGACTTTTTTCCTTTTTTTCACCGTTTAGTCTCAATGTCACACACACGGTAACCGGGCACGTAGCCTCAATATCTACGTACACGGTAACCGGCAACCGGGCGCCTCTCATTATCTATGAACACGGTAACCGGGTATTTTGTTTCGGGGGGGGGGGGTGGTTGAGCTAGGTGCACGGTAACTACGTCGCTCCCTTCATGACCTTGACCTTTTTCCTTTTTCACTCCGCTTTTTGTGTGTTGTGAGCGGAGTGTAAATCCAAAAATGACCCCAATCTACCCCCTGTCATCTTTCCTAAGGGAGAACAAAATGAAGTGACACTGAAAATCTGCGAATGTGGAACAGAACGCTAAAATATAGATGTTTACAAAACATGTAATACTATCACGAGAGAGAGAGAGAGAGAGAGAGAGAGAGAGAGAGAGAGAGAGAGAGAGAGAGAGAGAGAGAGAGAGAGAGAGGGGGGGGGAGAGTGATCGAGAGAGAGAGAGAGAGAGAGAGAATTAAAAACGTATGCTCTTGATGAGGTCATACCTCTCTCAAAACAAAGGATAATGAAACAAGGAGATCCTTGACTATCACCCATCCAATGAAACGCAGACCTTTTGGTTAAAAAACGCGGCTTACTAGGTATGAGTATGACGGATCCCAATTCCGTACAAGGCGTGCACCAATGCACGCTTTTCCGTAGCAGGAAGCTCTAGTAATAATCAAAATTCTAAATACAAAAATTTGCTTCCAAGTTCAGTTTTTGTCATCCGATGTTGCCTTCAACCCCACCCCTCCCCTCGACTGTACCTTTTAAAAAAATCAATAATCCCCCTATTCCGGAGCCTTATACTTCACGCAGTGCACACGTTGAATGAACTTTGGTGACCCCAACGATCACTGGTACTCACAATGTGATGCGAAAATACAGGTTCACTGACCGGTCACAATGTCGAGCCAGACAAGACGCTTGTATAACTGTCTTTTTTTCCGCAAGTGAAAGCACAGGACAATGATTTATTTTCCTGGCGACACAGCGTTTGTAATGCACAACCTGTATGCCTGTGACTGTGTGTTACAAATGATGTGTTAATCAGACTGCTGCCGGCAAATTTCTGGGTGGTAAAGAAAGCGAAAGTAGATTGAGCTTCGGTACCACGCATACACTTACGCTTGCAGCCAAAGCGCCCTGTTCATACCTAAAACTATCTTTTGTTTTCGAAATAGTTAGCACTTGCAACAAAATAAGTTTATATAAGTGCTGAAGATTAGAGGTGTTAGTGTTACAAGAGAGTAACAAACACAAAAAGAAGGCAGAGAAAGATAAGGATGATAGATGTTGAATAGGAGAGAAGGAGCAGACCACACCAGAGCACCCACTAACCACCCATTAATACTATCTTTACACACACCACACTTACAATCACACACAAAAATACATAAACAGAGAGAGACAGAGAGAGAGAGAGAGGGAGAGAGAGAGAGGGAGAGAGAGAGAGGGAGAGAGAGAGAGGGAGAGAGAGAGAGAGACACACACACACACACACACACACACACACACACACAAACACATACACACACACACGCACATCATGCATCTACACGTGTGAATAGCCTCTAAATATATTTAATACTTAGCATGTTACACACGCACAAATCACACAACATACACACACAAATCACACAACATACACATTGGCTAAAACAATATATGAAAGCTAAAGGAGCAAATAAAAAATGAATGACCCAGGAACATATTAAAACTAGAGAAGACAGTCAAAATCAAACATGGAAAAGTACATCTTTAGATATGGTCAACACCCAAAGGCTATAGTATTAGGTCTAATGCTTGCTTTTCTGCACCAAAGGGTGTGACATCACAGCATTTTGAAAACCAATTTCATCTTATTTAAATCACATGGGTCTCAATTCAGAATTCTAAAAAAGGAGGAACTTTCCGGGTGATCGCCACAGAAGCCCATTTTGGCGAAACACCCATTATTATATACTGTTGAACCCTAGAATGCTGAAATGAAAACCATCAATTGATCAATGCAAGATAATTTCAAGTAAGAGTCATGCACCAAATTTACAATCTTGATTACATAACCCCCACCTCCTTCAATCAAAAATATCTCAACTTCTATTCATGATACTGAGTATTTTTTTCATCAAATGCAAGGCAAATGAACAGGCTTTAAGATGATACCAATATCTCGACATGCCTAAAAATTGACGAGTGCCTGATTCCATTGCGTCATGACACATATGTATAACTATACCTGACTGCAACTGCAGTGGTTGAGCAATCTCAGTGAATGATCAGTGTCAAGATCTTTCGTTATCTCAGAGTTCTCTTCATATTCCTGTGTGAATAAAATGAGGACAAATTTGTGTGAAATGTCTTTCCTGTGAACACAATGTTGAGCCCACGACTGGGATTTAAACCCATAACCTTGGCAACACAGTATGAATGAAAGGCGGTAGAGGAATGTTCTTTAAAAAAAAATTTTTAGGGACCCGTCACATCAGGAATGAACTTGTTATACTTGCATTTTAGAACTTATTTCCAGTGATGCCAAACCAAAATGACACCTTTTGGATCTGTATGTGATTAAGAAGTCGGAGACACTATGTGAAATTCCACAGTGATATTAACCCACACCAAAAAAAGAGTTTTTGGTTAATATTTTCATGGGTAAATAAATATTTTTGAGGATCTATAAAAACGATAGTCAAAATGACGTGTTTCAGATTTTGAACTGACAATTTTTACAAATAACATTTTTATGCTTCTTGTTAGAGTTTTCAAAAAGCCTCTTTCTAAACAAAGCTTAGCCTTCTGGTCAAGCTGTTTAAATATGCAAGTCTTTAAAAGTTTTTGTCTATCACGTCAATTTTTAGAATTAAAAAATATCTATATATAAATATCAGGGATGCCAAATCTGTTTTTTTCCATCTTTTTTTCCCCATTTTTTTTTTCATACACTTGCAAAGGAAAGGGGAGAGGCTAGAGTGACATTTTTGTTTGCTCATTTATAAACTTTACAAGGTTCGTTTTAGACGAGATGTGGTGCTCCGCTCATTTTCAGTTCTTTTTTCTAAAATCATTTGACATCCTTGAATGAATGGTTTTAATAATTGTGATCTTGTTTTGCGCTCAGGCTATGGAGCAGATAAGGGACAATTTGGCCATCTACACAAACAGAGCCCAAGCCAGGATCAAACTGGAGATGTTCACGGAAGCTCTCACTGACTGCCACTGGGCTCTGCGGGTTTGTCCAACTCTGTTGTCTGTTCTTGTTTTGTCTCTTTGTATCTTTTAGCTAGGCTTCTTCTTTCTCTCTCCATCTCTCTCTCTCTCTCTTTTTTCTTTCTTTCTTTCTCTCTCTCTCTCTCTCTTTCTCTCTCCCTCTCTCTCTCTCTCTCTCTCTCTCTCTCTCTCTCTCTCTCTCTCTCTCTCATTTTGTTGTTTATAAGTTAAGCTTTAGTGATAATCGAAACCATGTCTGTGTTTTTATAGGAAAATGCTTCTTTTTGTGAAGGTTCTCCAGAAGGATTATTATAGGAATGCAGTAAAATAGTCTTCATTAAGGTCTTGATTGTTAAATTATTACGTTTATTAGATTTATGACACAATACATGACACTTTGTTCTATGGTTCTACAATTTATTTGTAGGGGGCTCTTGTGGCCTAGATTTTACAGTGTTTGCCTCTCATTCAATAGGTCCCGGGTTCGAATCCGGACACCAACGGAACATTTTTTTCTCTAAAATGTTCTCCTTTCACCTCCTTTCTTGCTTTATAACAGTGTTCTGTCATCTGTTTTTGTCCCCACCTAATGCCCCCACCCCCTCACCTCCTTTGCCCTTCCTCTGGGTTCCTGACTCTTTCTGCGGCCTTTCTACTGCTTTTCGATTTTTGGTTCCTTCTTACTGCTGTCTTTCAGTCACACCCCTGATCTTATGGTAGGTAAGGTATAACACCTAGCCTTCTCGGATAAGGGCGAAAAATCTGGGAGGTCCCGTGTGCAAGTTTAACACGTTAAAGATTGCTTGGTGGTCCGAAAATCAATAAGAGTAGGCTTCGGCCGCCACCCAGGCAAAATTCAAAATTTCCTACCGACTGAAAATGTTTAAGTGTCCCGCGCACTCCTTCGACCTTTTGCAGCTGCGAGTGCAGTAAATCAGTTACCCAAAAAACCCAAACTATTTGTACATTACTCTGTGTATTTGTCAGTGTTTACAGATTGGTTTCTCAGTGTATGACTCGGACATACCTCACTTTTCAAAATGGTGAATGGTGTAGTTTTATACCAAGCCATTGAAATGCTTATTGATGGTTTTCAGAAGAAGCTTTTTAAGTCCTTTTGCATATACATCCGCCATAAGAGAATGAGCTTATTTGACTAGATCTATATTTTATTACATTTCTCTTCTTCACACATGTATGCACACATGAATTGACTTAAAACGTGACAATGAAATAAGTCCCCTTTCAGACAGACACAAAGCTATGACATGCATGACATTTAATAACCTTTTTTTAAAGGAGTGTATGCAAAACAGTTCCCGACTCTTTAGTTTAAGTACAAACATTTTAAAGTTTTGTAACGACAGTAATATCCATTTTGTACAGGTTTTCTTTTTATGGGTGGTGGGTGGGGACTCTTTTCTGGTTTGTTCCTTCTTTCCTATCAAACATCTATCATTCTTATCTTTCTTATATATCTAGTTCTGCTTTTGTTAGTGTATTTCAGTTACTCACTTGTTTATATGTAACTACTTTAATCTCCAGACTTGTAAGAACAATTTGTATTGCAAGTGCTGTAAAACTCTTACTAAAACTAAAACTTAAGTTTGGTCGTTTTTTTGTTTGTTTATTCTTTCCCCCCCCCCCCCCCCCCCCCCCCAGCTGACTCCGGGCTGTATGAAAGCTTATGTTCAACAAGGACACGCCTACCTAGGGATGAACGAGTATGAAAAGGCCAGAGAGAGCTACAGAGAGATCCTTAAAATTGACAACAAAAAGGAGAACATCGTCAAAGGTAATCTATGTGGGTTATTGGTGGGTGCTCTGGTGTGGTTTGCTCCTTCTTTCCTATCAAACATCTATCGTCTTTATCTCCCCTCCTTCTTTTTTTTGTTGTGTCTGTTACTCTCTTGTAACACCTCTAATCTTAGACACTTATATGACCGTATTGTGTCTGTTACTCTCTTGTAACACCTCTAATCTTGGACACTTATATGACCGTATTGTGTCTGTTACTCTCTTGTAACACCTCTAATCTTGGACACTTATATGACCGTATTGTGTCTGTTACTCTCTTGTAACACCTCTAATCTTGGACACTTATGTGACCGTATTGTGTCTGTTATTCTCTTGTAACACATCTAATCTTGGACATTTATATGACCGTATTGTGTCTGTTATTCTCTTGTAACACCTGCTCTAATCTTCGGCACTTATATGACCGTATTGTGTCTGTTACTCTCTTGTAACACCTGCTCTAATCTTCGGCACTTATATAGTGTGTTGCAAGGGCCGTAAAACACTTACTAAAACGAAAAGGTAGTCCATTGTATCTTTTTGTCTCTGCAGATAGTTTGTAGAATTAGTCTCCTGGGTGTATGGAAAAAATTATAAGAATAGAAACTTTGATTTAGAACTCTGATAGAAGATCAATATTAGCTGAAATCGTTAGCTTTTAGCTCTCTTCAACAGAGTTAAATCAGACGCTTGTCAATTTTTGGGCATATGGAGTTAATGGTAAAATCTTAAAGCTTGTTCATTAGTATTACTTTTGATGAAAAAAAAATTACCGATCTATCTTGAATAGAAGTAAGGATATTTGCAATTGTGGGTGGTAGGGGTTGCCTGGTGTTAGAAGTAAAATTAGCGAGAAAATGGTCACCCAAGTTTAGTGACTTCCAAAGCTGTGGTGTTCTTGGAAACTACACATTTATATTTTTTTGTGCCTTTGATCAAGGTTTACTAGTAAAATCCATGCAGAAAGGTATTTTCAAATGGACTTCTAATCCCCTGTCTGTTTCCCTTGTATCTTCGCAGAGTACCTAGCCGAAGTGGACCGCGTGGAACAGGCGAGCCAGGCGGAGGTCAAGGCCACAGAGCTGTTCGAGTCTGGCCAGGAAGTGGCAAAAGGTGTGGTGGACGTCCTGGGAAAGGTGGTCAAAGCTGACCAGCTCCCTCTCTACTACTCTGGTGGCTTCCGGGTCCTGACATCACTTCTGGACAGTGGTCAGTCTTTATGCGGGGGAAAAAGTGTGTTTTGTCTGTGGGTGTGTGTGTGTGTGTATGTGATTGTTTGTGTGTGTGTATGTGTGTTTGTGTATGTGTGAATGTGTTTGTGTATGTGTGTGTTTGTGTGTCTGTGTGTGTGTGAGTGTGTGTGTGTGTATGTGTGTGTGTGCTTATGTATGTGTGTGTGTGTGTTTGTGTGTGTGTGAGTGTGTGTATGTGTGTGT